ATCCTCAGCAAAGCTTGAACTGACATTTCTCTACAGTTCTTGTCTGCAAATCTATTTCACTTCTTCCTCAATTCTCCTCCATGCAGAAATGTATCATTTCAAGCTGTTATTAGATCTGTTTTCAACTAACTTTGTCAAAATGTAATTTTGTAACTGAAGGTACTATAATAGAAAAAAAATCACTTACTTTGATGCGCACACATATTTCTTCTTTCTTTCTACCAACTGTAGTCAAATAACTTTTATAAAGTTTTGTAGCACTGAATGGTAAAACGTGCTTGATCAGTGTGATTACTGGGCAAAAGCAATGAGAAAGAACATCTTGCCTCCAACTCTTTTTAAAGCTACAGTTTTGTAAAATAAGCTAAACATAGTTTGTTTTCAGTTTAATGTGGTGTATGAACCTAGCTACTATAGTCTACAAACCCTGGTTTGTTGTTTAAAATGTTCCATGAACTTAGCCTGTGTGAGAATGTTTTTGTCGAACTGTGATTCTGAGCCTAGACTTGATCACAGTAAATCTAACCAAAGAAAATTGTGCTCAAGTCCCAGTGAAATTAATGGAATGCATGCTAATAAATATTAGCTTGTTAAATACAGTATTTAACTATGTAACCTAAATTTGTTCCATGTAACAGCCTCCTATAACCCAATGTCTCCTTCGTATTCTAGTCATAAAGCCACCCACAGACATTTTGTTCTTTTTGTTGATAGTAGAATTCTGAATGTAAACTAGATAACGCCTTTTTCTCATAGGCAATATTTTCATCTAGGAAAGAGGAGGAATTGCTATTCAACTAGCAGACTGGAGTCATCTGGAGAACTCTGAGAAGGAGGAGAGGTAAAGATATACAGTATATAGGAAACCATAATAGATTCTAAACACCCTTGCCTGTTGAAGACTGCTGGTTTTAGGGAAGAACAAAGATGATGGCAGACCAAAATCAACCAAGCAGTTTTAGCTCAAGATGTGTTAGGGCAGCGGTTCTCAACCTATGGGTCGCGACCCCATTTGGGGTCGAACGACCATTTTACGGGAGTCGCCAAACAATGCAATCTGCCATTTTTCCCCCTCAGGGGGCGGCGCCGCACATGCGCACCGCGCATGGGGGCGGCGGCGCCCCCATGCGCGGCGCGTCCATGTGACGGGGTCACCATCACACAAAGGTTGAGAAACGCTGTGTTAGGGGAACTTATAGCCTTGTAAAATAGAGCAGTTTGGAGAAGATCACAAAAGAGAGAGGGAGGGAGGGAGAGAGGGAGGGAGGGAGGGAGGGAGGGAGGGAGGGAGAGCGCGAGCAGCCTGTATAATTAGCCTCTTATTTCTAAGTAGGAAGAAGGAATAGAATGTAGAAATAGCAACATCTACATTTAGCTGACACACATGACAAGGTAGACTTTGCCAAAAGCAGGAAGCCTTAAATGACTAGTAAATAATACTTTATTGAGCAATGCTTTCCCAGTTGAAAATAATTCTAGCCTCAGGTCTTTCTCCTCACAGTGTATCAGTCAAGCAGGTGGAAGAACAGAGACATAATATACATATCTAACCCTCGCAAAGGAATGCTGATTAAAATCAAAGGTAGATACCTGTTTCACTTGCTTTGCTGTGTTGTTTAAAAAAAAATTCACAAGAGATATTTGGAGTCCTGTGTATCAGATTCTATTAACCCACAGAAACCCAAAACATCAAATTCTCCAAACTGATATACATTTTCATTTTTTTAATATTTATTTGCAACAAAAAACACCAATTGATCATACACCATTTGGTATGTTATTGTTTTGATTACATTTTACAGTTATTTTGCTTGTCCTTAATTAGAACTTTTTCAAGGTCCTTAAATTTCTTCAGTGTTCAATACCAAGAAATATGGAATATAATTGTACTGTACTGCCTTTAGTATGCTACATGTCCTATGCATGTCTGTGCATGTCTACTCAGTAGGAAATCCTATTGTGTTTTGTGGAATTTACTGCAAAAGGGGGATTGCATGCGTTAATATGAAAATAAAACCCTTCATTCCATGGAGAAGAAAATATAAAAACAGGCTGTCAGAAGGATTTTTGGTTAGCCTTCTTGCAGATGTATGTTTTCATGGACATGGGGTGCAGGGCAGGGGATATTTTATTGAACATTTATCACCTGTTTTAAATGGTAGACTCGATGGAATTGTATCTCTTGATTCTGCTTCATATGTAGAACTAATTCTAACAAATCTGAAGGGACATGTCTGCATTTGCACATGTGTAAATGCATGAGCTATTTTGCTTTCACAGAATATCCAATCATGTTATGTTATTAATATCCAATAATGCTATTAAAAACAACAATCAATGTAATGCATTTCTGGACAAGCAATAGAAAAAAACAATAGGTTCCTAGATTACTTTAAGTCAGTACAAAGCCACAATAAGTGCCTTCAGAACAATATCAGCTTCAGTTTCAGATAAGAAAGAAATTGCTCTGAAAATCCTTGCCAAGGCTTTGACAGTTCTTCCAATACCCAAATTCCAAAAGTTCATGACCAGTTTATTTCATTTTAGTTCGTTTTAAATATTTACTTCACTTAGGAAGGTATCTAAATACCTTTTCAAGTATTTTGACAGTAGCAGCAGCTGTCATATAAGTTGCTTTCTCACTAGGTCTACACAACACATTGATTACAACAGCATCACCAAGCAAATATTGAAATGATATAAAGCCTGTCCTCCTTGGTCTGAATTGGACACAACAATGATGGAACATTCCCAGAATACAATAGAAGCCAGAGGTGGGGAAATGACCATAGTAATTAAATGGAAAATCATTTAAACTAAAAGCTAAAATAAGATACTGCCTTGGACTGGAAACAAAATGGGTCTTCCTGAAGAGAACTGAAATGTGTAGACTGGTATTCAGAGGATCAAAGCAGTTTCCAAAATACTTTTTTTCCTGTGCAGCCCAATAAAACTTGAGTTGCTGGATCAGGTCTAATCCATTTAGTCCAGCAATCTTTTTCTAATATTAGCCATGAAAAAAAAATCTCCTCTTATTTAATCTCAGCATTAGACTTAGGCTGTCTCTAAACATGATCAGCTGTTGTAACTGTTACTGATATTGTAATGTTGAATTTTAAACTATAATTCCAATAATAACACTTTTTTTAAAAAGCCATCTAGGTCCTCATTCACATTAATATCAGGTGCTGGATAATACCAAATCACCATAATATTATCCACATGCTACATCTGAATGAGACAGGTCAATGGAATTTTATCAAAATATACAAACCGTTGCAACACATGTTTAGCAACTATTGTATTCTTCCATTAATGCAAAGAATTGATGTCAATGCTCACTATATTCTTTCCCAAATGGGTTTACAGTCAGTTTTATTTTATCTCTCATCTCCATTTCCAGCTTCACCTCTGTCCGTTTTTCAATGATACCTTCACCCCAGCTACAGCCACCTTCCCCCCCATCTGGCTGCAACAATTGCAACTGTTTAATCGCCAACCAGCAGACTCTTTCTATTTCCTGATATAATAAGCTTTGGAGATGGTTACCAGGCAAGCAAATAGGAAAAAAAAAGCTTTTGTCAATAGTCATTGCACCAATCCTTATTTTTTATCTCTGATCTATTTACCCGTTTCTTTAAGTTAGTCTGAGTTAATGAAGAAGATTTGTGCAACAGTTCCCAATGTTCAAAGGCAGAAGATCTCTGAGTTATTTCTTGATACTATTCCAGGAAAAAGGAAGGTTTTCAGAGTTGTCTCCCAAAATCCAAATTCAAATTGTCAGAAATTTCAGAAAGAATAAAAGGTTCACCGACCCTAATTGATAAGATCATTTTCTTCATTCTATAATAGTTAAGGGCCTTAATCAAATAAAAATCATATATGTAGTTCCATGTATCCTGTAATTGCCCCATGTATATAATAAATTGGAAAAAACTACAATTTATTTTAAAATTTTCCATTATTTTTCATACATCACAATCCTATAAATCTGTATACTATAAGGAAATAATGCAGACAGATTATTGTTTACCAGCATGCACTTCTGTAGAATCAAGCCACACATCAAATTAAAATGTGACTTGTTTTTTCAACTGAAAATTGTCGGCATGTATTTTTATTTTTCAATCCATTTACCCTTACATCAGGGATGTCAAACTGCTGGCCCGCAGACCGGTTGCATCATGCAGAGACCACGCCCACCCCAGCTCCTGCAGTGCGAAAAAAGTCATGATACATCACTACATGTCACGTGACGCAGCAAGTTTGACCCCCGTGCCTTACATGATGTATTTCAGCAATTGTGTCTTCTATATTTTGAAACATTTGAGGCTTTTAAAAACAAATCAGTTTATTATTTTTTATTCAAGATTAGAGTTTAAAATTATGAAAATATCCCAATTCCTCTTTAAACTTCTTCACTCTTCCTCAAAAAGGTTTCCATTTTTACAATATTCCCTCTGCATATAAAATTTAGGGGGTAACTTTACTGTAAAAGTAGAAAGTTTGCTTGCAAATAAAAACAACAGTGAGCATTACTATAGAGAGCTACAGAAACAGAAGGCATATTACAGTATTGCTGTTAATGGTAATGGCATTTTTAATGTGTTAGTGAGAAAATCTGTGAATTCTGCATATTGCATACCAACCGTGCAGAAAACCCATTGTTTAAAATATGCAAGTTATGTTTTGCATATTACCAATTTAGGGTAGGCATTGCAAAAACAGAGACTGCTCAACACTTGGCAGGCTGCATTCAAAAGTTCTGCATACCTGACACTAGTGCCCGATTCATATTATTGTCCTAATTCCTTAAATATAAGCAGCATCTTTAAAATGTAATTTTTCTGCTGGCGATAAGGTCTGATATAGCCATGAGCGGAATTATATTAAGATTCAGTCTACTCTACAACCAGAGAACCCCCTCCATAATTGGGGAAACTGATCTGTTTCATACCTGAAAAAGTATGAGTCAGGTATTTGATGTCCTAAGAAATTACCTGAAAAATGATTGCCTGGGGTTGCACCAAGTATTGTCTCATCAGCATGGAGCACCACTGCCATAGCATGAAGGAGAAAAAAAAAGAAAAATCAGGAGAATAGTTTATTTGCTATTTTAAGAGTGCAGAGAACTTTAAAAATTACTTTTAAATTCTATTATTGGAGGCACTCTTTTTTCTGCAATTCCTGCTAATTAATCTACATGATAGCAGGAAATTGACATGTAGTTTGTCAATTGCCCAATGATCTGAGGCAGAAGTGCAGCTGTGATATACATACTTGGCTCTCTAAAGGTATCTAGGCCTTGTGACATGAATCTCATTCAAATACAATAGCCTGAAGAACTGGCAAATCATGAAACTCAACAATGTCCATCAGCATCAGCCATGAATTGTGATTTGCCAGGTGCTTAATCACACAAGTAGGCAACAACGAAAACAAGCAGTTTACCAAGTCTTTGGTAAACCACCATACTTGGTTAATGGGCTGCAATTTGGCTTAGTGAAGCTCGGTTAATGCAGGCCCAATGTACAAGTTTTAAAAAAAATAGTCCAAATATTATAAAGTAGGGGATAATAGTATGAATAAATGAGATATTGAAGGTATAATTAGGTAGCAAAATGCTCTTTGGATGCAGCCCTGATCTGTTATTCCCCCAGATAAAAAGATTTCACCTAGGAAAGTTAGCAAACACCTCAACATCAAACTAAGATGACTGACAGCCACTGACAGCCATTAACACTATTCTAAGTCTGCTAAACACACTGGGGATCTGACTCAGGGTTATAATTCAGACTTGTACCTTTATAAACTGGTGGGGCAGTTTACAAATCATGTGATTTACAAAGGTACAATCCACTAGTCAGGTATGGTGGCCTACCAGGTGCTGGATTACTAAATCTTTCTATCTACTGTAAAACAAGCAGCAAAAATAGGAGGTAAATCAACTCCCTGTAGGGTGCATTCTTTGGTAGATTACAATATTTCCACAATAGTTTGGATTCAGAAGGTTGATCAAGAATCTGCTCTGCTGCTTAATAAGCTCTCCTCTGTTCAGCCACCTTCACATAATCAGGTTTCTATAGACTGTGGCAACAAAATGCAAATAGAGTTTTTTTTAAAAAAATGTTATTTATTTCATCACTCAAGATACTAGAACTCACCATTAAGCTGCACTGATTCAGATGACTAATAGATGTAGGGAACTTAGCTAAAATGGTAAACTCTGGGAAAAGTGCAATTATCTCCCACTTTCCTAATGCTGAACAAAGTGTTCTCAACCTTCCATATCCGGTGATATCATTCTTTTCTCTTAAATAAAACAATCTGGTACTTTCTATAAGTACTGGGGCCCCATTGTTTAACAGAGCAGTGTTTCTCAATTTCAGCAATAGACTTTAAATTCCAGAATTCCCTAATCAGCTGGCTGGGGAATTCTGGGAATTGAAGTTCACACATCTTAAAGTGGCTAAGATTGAGAAAAACTGGCTTAAAGGCTTTTGTGATTGAAGTGATATAGAAGGCTCATAAATGAATGCATATATGAATAAATGTCTGATGTTTCCAGTAATCAGGTTCATATTATGAGAACTAAAGTCCATCATATCTGATAATCTAATTACTTATTGTTGTTTTGCTCTCAGTATTTAATAATAAATGTACAGGATTCTGCCAGTTTTAAGGATACAAGCAAAGAAAGCATAGAGATGTAAGCACCAAGCATAAATCAATCTAAAAACAAAACAAAAAGTAAGCACATTTTAACTTCCATATATCAACACAGCATGAACTGAAGTTATCCAACAGTGAATCATAACTACAGACACTGAATAAATTGAACCCATATTCATTTATAATTGAGTCATATATTCTTTATTGCTCTTAAAGTAGAGACAAAAAAGAAATGCAAAAAATGCAAAAATATAAATGCATGCATTATGTACATTAAAGAAAAAAGAAAGAAAAAGACATAAGGGCAAGGAAAGGAAAGGAAAGGAAAACTGAATTATATATTTAAGTGTATTATCTTTGCATTATTCCTCATTTGCTAACATACCTAACAGGCATTAAACATTGTCTTTGCATCTGACTTTTGGGGTTTTTAAATTATTAAAGGCAATGGGAGAAAAAAAAGGAATGTCTTTCCAGTTCAACTACAATATGAGAAAAATAATATAGCTTATCATAAATAGTAGCTACAAGGGTTACTGAAATATTACTTGTAAGTACTTTATGATTTAGAAAAATAAAACACTATGTAAATATAAAACCCTTATTGTCTGAAGCACAATAAAACCTACTGAAAACCTAGGCTAGATTAGAAGGCTTCTCCTATTCTGGTACACACACTGAAATGTATAAGCCTATTGCAGAGAAATACTAATAGTCAGTTGAGGAAGTCAGAGGAAAGAACCTTCCAGCAATATCACACTTTTTCAGTGTGGTATTGCTGGAAGATTCTTTCCCCTGACTTTTTCAGCGACATCACATTACCATAAGAATGCTGGTCTTTTTAAAATTTAATTTTTAATAAAGTGGTCCCATTAACTCTGAAGTACCTTCCTAGCAATTTTTTATTTAAACAGTGGCATCTCTATTTACTGTTGTTGTTTTTTTATTACAAGCCATTTCTAAATAAAAGAACTGTAGTTTTATATTTTGAACCCAGTTCTGAAGTTTGGAAAATTGTGAGAAATTGATTATAAAAGATTTTAAGCAACAGCTAGTCAACCATCTATAAGATATACATGTACTTTCCAGTTTGAGGAGCAAATTAATATGTATATCTGGGTTTGTTGTGTACTATCATCCAAACAAGGACTTGTTTACACAGACTGGTGCTGTATGTACAATACCTCTTTCTCAGATGAAGATGGGGGTACATCTAAAGAGGCTCAAAGAGAAAATCAGCAGTAACACCAATCAGCAACTCTGGGGAATTATCTTATGAATTATTATTATTCCTGTTTGTTTCTTAATCTTAGGCCTACATAGGCTAGCTGTTTTACATTCAGTGAAAAACAAATGTTTGGAGCTCATGGTCAAATTGTGGGTTTAGAACTCTTTCATTGATTGAGTACTATAATGCTTTTTTTCATTCTGAAGTTGTTAAAAGGCCTCAAAAGATTATTGTTTTATTAGGCCAATAATTTGCCAGGTGAAGGCAATTCCACAGGTAAGCTAATTCTCTTAATTCTTCTAGCCACTCATGTTGCGACTCTTGTTCTGTCTCCTTTCAACTAAGCGGTGGGCTCCTCTAAGCAACTGTCTGAACATCGACAATGAAAATAATTTGCTCTTACAAAACAGGCAAAGGCTATTAAATAATTTCTGAATACTTACAGCTAGCAATTTCAACTGTGAGAAATGCTGTTAAGAAATGGGAGATGCATGGAATTGTGTCCATCAAGGACCAAGGAAAATCTCTGCCTGAACTGCTTTAGGACTTGTCAGATCTGCAAATCCGAACTCACGATTCACTGTGCAGGGATCTACTAAAATGATTGGCTAACTAACCCCATAGCATTTACCCATAGGTCTGCAGGATAGTGCTGCTCATACTGTATAACAGTAATCTGCCTTGAAGGGTAGTCATAAGGAAATCTTTTCTCCCACCATGTCACAAAGCCATTGTTTAAAGTATTGGGGGGGGGATCCTTGAACTTCTTTGGTACCAAATGGTTTGGCTGATGAAATCAAACTTGAATAACAACATGCAGTTAAAGGATAAAGCATTTGAAGAAAAGCTCTTCTTGCTAGCTATTAAGCATGGGGATGGCTATTCTATGTTTTAGGTTGTGTGGCAGCAAGTGTCTCTAGATATATTGTATGGGTGAAAAAAAAAATAGATTCAATTAAATACCAACATTTCCTAGAAGTTAATGTTCCATAGTCAGTGAAAAAACTGAAGCTGAAAAATACATATCTCCAAAGCAACCATAAGGAACCTACAGAAAAAGGATAAAAAAATTGGAAACTAGGAAATTTTCCTAGTTTGCAGTTTTGGATATTATTGAAAAATCTGTAGGAGATTTCAAATATACATTGCAGGAAAGGAGATCTGAGCAAGAGAAACTCTACAAGGAAGAGTGGGGGAAAACTGAATCCCGAAAAACAAGAATAAAAAGATTTTTCCAAGCTACATTCGGAAGCTGTTATTTCTACTTATAAGGAATAAACGGGTGTCTGTCTAAACCTCTGCATATTCACTGTCTATTGTCACAATTATCTACAAATAGTAAGTATTCATTCAAATTGGCAGAGAGATATCATGCTTATCTCGGTATCATGCAGAGAGTGTGTCAGCTTCAATTCACTTACAGATTCACTGAAACATAAGAGTTTGATCAGAGGCACCTAAATTTTTGCATGTAGCTATTCATATATGTAAAATATACAGTGCCCTCTATACTTTAGGACAATAAATTTTGGATTAAAATGCTTTGGGATGCTCATCTGCATAAGCAGTGTTCTGACAAATGTGGTTTGTATATTGGGGGAATCCCATTCCAGAGTCTTTAACATGAAGATTATTACTCTAATGAGGCACAACATTTGCAGTAGAAGCAGAAAACAGGGAAAATAAATAGTAGGAGGATTTCCATTCTTATAATTTATTAGGTCATTTTCCAGTAACTTATATCTACACTAAACTGATGTTGATTTTGGCCTCAGAAGCATGGGTCAAATAATATTGTCAACAATATATAGTCTAAGCTTTCATTTAAAACAAACTTCTGACCCTGGAGACTTAGATAAGTTAAGAAGTTAGATTCCCTAGGAATGCATTCTCCGCTGCTTATAAATTCACTTTTAGGGTTGTTTTTTTTCTTCAGATGACTAAAAATAGACTCTAGATCAGTGGTTCTCAACCTGTGGGTCGGGACCCCATTTGGGGTCGAACGACCATTTCACGGGGGTCACCAAACAAGGCTGTCCACCATTTTCCCCCCTTTTCTTTGGTCACACCCCTGGCACCCGGTGATGTATAAGTGGTTGGGGGTCACCACAACATGGGGAACTGTATTATGGGGTCGCGGCATTAGAAAGGTTGAGA